CTTTTGGGATTAGGTGGCCCTCCTGTGCAGTCTGCATCCCTGGCAACTCTCCTTTTGGAAATCAATTCCTGGCTCCCCCATTTATCTGTTTCTGAAGCAGCTCTGCCCTGTGCACCATGATTAACGGCCCCTTAATCAGTTTTGTTTCCATAGTTAATCCAATTATCTGCCAACGTCGTATTGGGTGCTATTTCATTTTGCTTGCCTGCTCTCACTTTTGCATCCGCACAATAGGCGCCGTGGTTCACTTTTGACAGATGCGTGCTTTATGTATTTGTGCTAATATATTTCTTGCAGTAGTAGAACAATAATCATTATTTTTGGAGCTTTGCACATGGCTGCTGTTGGAAGCAAGCAAAGCACAGGGCTCTTGACTTGGAAGTTTCCCAATTTAGTATTTATTGTGGGGCTGAAGAGGGGGAAAGGAACCAATCCTCAGCACCATTCTGTATTTAGGGAGCTTAATAATTTCTGGTTGGTATCTGATGCTTTCCTCCTTGAGATAGTGAGCCTGTGGGGTGGACCTTGTCTCTTTATACAGCAGAAGACTCCCACCCATCTTAACCTCATTTCACCAGCCAGCCTAAACCTCTCCCATGCCTCCTTTGCCTCAATCGCTAAGGTGGAGGATTCTCACTGAGTGCTACGGCATCACCTCCCTTAGGTGCTGGAAACTTGTGGGAACCATGGTAATTTGTAATTCCCATGGCTCCCAGAAACTCTGGAACTGCTGTGGCACCCATGGGAATTCTTTTCCGATCTTTGTAAGTTAGGGAAAGGAGGCCAAGAATGGCCTGCGTCTAGGGCTTCAGTCAGGGAAGGGCCCGGAACAGATGCAAAAGAGCTATCCTTGGGCCTGGTGGGTGCAATTCTTCTCCCTCCATCTTGTGGTCGTAGGGAAGGGTCATAGTTATTCCTTCATTATGCAAAGGGGATTTCTGCTGGATATAATAAATAGGGGCTGCCCCAAACTCACTGCTCTGCCCCATCTCTGCCCAGTCTCGGTAAGGGGCAGCGATGTTGCTGCCAGGACACTGGCTCAGTTGGGTTGCTTGCTGTTGGTTAGTACCAACCTGTTTTACCTGTTTCAAAGGTGGTAAAGGTAAAGGTAAAGGTAAAGGGACCCCTGACCATTAGGTCCAGTCGTGACCGACTCTGGGGTTGCGGCGCTCATCTCGCTTTATTGGCTTCCGGGTCATGTGGCCAGCAGCACTTCTGGCGAACCAGAGCAGCTCACGGAAACGCCGTTTACCTTCCCGCCAGAGCGGTACCTATTTATCTACTTGCACTTTGACATGCTTTTGAACTGCTAGGTTGGCAGGAGCAGGGACCGAGCAACGGGAGCTCACCCCATCGCAGGGATTCAAACTGCCAACCTTCTGATTGGCAAGTCCTAGGCTCTGTGGTTTAACGCACAGCGCCACCCGCGTCCCATTTCAAAGGTGGGGTATGCCTTAAATAAACAAAACTAGGCTGCTTCCTTTTCACATGGGTGGGCAGACAGGTGTGCCAGGACTGATGAGGCGGTTAGTGGAGCTTGGACCATGCTCTGTCTGCTGCAGTCACCAGCAGAACCAGGCAGGCTCCTTTGAGCTTCTCGTCATTTCCAATATTTCCCCGCCCACTTTGGGTTTGTGGAGAAGTAATTTTGAACCAGGGATGAGGAAGCTGTGGCCCTCCAGATGTTAGAGTGGTCCAAGTCCCACCCGCTCCAGCTGCTGATGGGAGCTATGCTATTCCAGCAGCACCCTTGTCTCCAGTCACACATCACAGTAAACCAAGGTTTGTTTTAATTTTATTATGATTACACTTATATTCCCCGCCTTCCCTCCAAGGAGTTCAATGTGACATTCCTGTTTGTTCACCTCCTCTCCATTTCATCCTCACAACAGCTCTGTGAGGTAGGCTGGGCAGAGGGATAGCATAGCAGGAAAATGGTATTCCGATTAGAATATGGCCAGAAGAATCTCAAGTATTGCAGCATATTAAGGCAGATGGGTTGGGGCAGTTCAATATCATACTGTAATTTTGAAATTAGGCAAATGCCTTGCATATTTTCCCCCTCTTAGTCACACATTCTACCTTCAGGGAGATGATGGAATTTGAATGCAAAGGTCAAACTGGTTTCTGCATTCTAAAAGCACAGATATTATTAACCTGAGATGATTTGTGTGTGTGCATATGTGTTTAAAATATACTTTTTATTATTATTCCCCCCAAAATCTATTCAACTTGTTCAACTGGATACAGATATTCACATGTTTAGAACTAATACGTTAGGGAAACAAATGAGAGTCCAAATTATCTCCATTAGGCAAACCAGCAAATTGTTTCCTAATTGTTTCAGATGTGATTTGATTCTCTTTTCCTCTGCGTTGTGCAGATAACTGACAGCTCAAGCCTATACATGTTTACCCAAAGAGACCACAATGGCCAAGCGCTACAAAGCTGACAGGGATAAGTGCCTACGGCAGGGATGGGGAACGTTTTCTGGCAAGTGGAATGGATCCTTATTTCCCTGACCCTGATAGGCCAAATCATCTGACAGCAATATGATATCAGGTGATGGTGCTGCTGCACTTTGAACCCTGAATTGTTGGGACTACAGAGGCCAAAACTGGGCTCTTTGAAAGCCCTTTTGCAAACAGTCCCCTGCTGTTCTTTGAACCTCCTAAAGGCAGGTTCCACAGCTTCAGATGGATTGGACATCTGTGGTCAAAGTCTAATGTGCGATATAAAAAAAACCCAGAGCAGTCCATTTGTTTGGAGTCTGTGGCTGACCCTCTTCAGGGCAGTCCATGCCCCTGATGTTTGCGGATCCAACTTGGGCCTTCTCAAATGGCATCTGTAATGAAGGGCCGTAGTTCAGTGCATCTGCTTGGCATGCAGAATTTCCCGGGTTCAATCCCTGCCATCTCCAGGTAGATCTGGGAGAGAACCTGGTTGGAAATTTAGTAATAATTACTATAGTTCAGGCTTCCTCAACCTCGGCCCTCCAGATGTTTTGAGACTACAATTCCCATCATCCCCGACCACTGGTCCTGCTAGCTAGGGATCATGGGAGTTGTAGGCCAAAAACACCTGGAGGGCTGAGGTTGAGGAAGTCTGCCATAGTTTAATCAGAAATACTGTGGGGAACAAGACTGTGACCAAGTAGCCTGTGTGACTGATTGGCCTGCTTTTCGGGTGAGCATTGTTGATGTTCAGTGGGACTTAAGTCATTTTTAACCAATACTAACTCTCATTGATTTGGCAACGTGTGGATCTACTTAAAATCCCGTTGGTTTAAATGGTTCTACTCTGACTAAATCAATGTTTATTACTTTTATATACTGACCTCATTTAGGGAGCTCTGTGTGGCATGCTTGGTTCATACCTTCCCCCGCTTTAATCCCCACAACACCATTGCGGGGTAGGCTAGACCCTTATTTGTCCGCACACTGTCTTGCCAAAGTGGTACAAGCACTGGTTATCTCCTGCTTGGACTACTGCAATAGGCTGTTCGTGGGGCTACATTTTTGAAGGTGACTCAGAAACTGCAACTAATCCAGAATGCAGCAGCTAGACTGGTGACTGGGAGCAGCCACCGGGACCATATAACACTGGTCCTAGTACATTTCCGAGCACAGTTCAAAGTGTTAGTGCTGACCTTTAAAGTCCTAAATGGCCTGGGCCCTGTATACCTGAAGGAGAGTCTCCACCGCCATCGTTCAGCCCTGATACTGAGGTCCAGCTCCGAAGGCCTTCTGGTGGTTCCCTCCCTGTGAGAAGCGAGGTTACAGGGAACCAGGCAGAGGGCCTTCTCGGTAGTGGCACCCGCCGTGTAGAATGCCCTCCCATCAGATGTCAAGGAAATAAACAACCACCTGACTTTTAGAAAGCATCTCAAGGCAGCCCTGTATCGTGAGGTTTTTAATGTTTGATGCTATATTTTGTTGGAAGCCACCCAAAGTAGCTGGGGCAACCCAGTCAGATGGGTCAGGATTAATCATCATCATCACCATCCTTTCATTATTTGTATCCTGCCCAAATGTCTGGGTTGCTTCAGCCAATCTGTGATGCTTCCAACATATATAAACATAATAAAACATTACATATTAAAAGTATAAGAAATAAATTATTATTATTACACTGATTCCCAGCAGGCTTTAATAAGTTAGTAACTAAAAAAGAATGGGGGGAGGGGAGGGAAAGGAAGCCTGTTTCTTCTCTCTCTTACTGCCTTGCAGTTTGTGCAAGCTTAGATAGCAAGGGCTATGTTTAAAAATACACTCGAGGTCCGCGTCCATAATAGAAGCAGTTCACCAATAACAACTGACTGATCATAATATCGCTGTGCTAATGTCATGGTGACCCTTACATTGTTAAAGTCCATAAGATACTAGTTTTTCATCTGTTGAGTCACGTTAAACAGGAACAGATTGGTTCGTTCCTTTTTAATATGACCCAATGTGGGGGGGGGGGGGGGACACACCAAGTGAAACGTGGCTGTTTAACCTCTCAGTACCAAGGCTGTTCCCTTCTGAACCTCCTTGCCCCCTCCTCCCCTGTAGCTAATAAAAGCACCTCCGATGGGCATTTAATTACCCAACCAAGAAGATAGAAACAATAATTAATGAGAGATTAAGTGACGGATGAATGGATGGTAGCATCCAGTTAGTTGCTAGGATAATAATAATAATAATAATAATAATAATAATAATAATAATAATCCCTTTTACTTTGGAAGCAGCTGTTGTTGAGCATTTAGCCTTTGGAAGCAGTTGTTGTTGAGCATTTGGGACGGTTTATACATTTTGTTTACACCTCCAAAAACAGATCAGAGAGGCTGACACTGAAGCTGACTAACGTTGTTTCCAGGCTATAGTTTAGTAATTTGTTTGGATGCTTTGCACTTTATTCACCCGAGCTTTCTGAACTGCCCTGCCCTGCCTTTTCTTTTACTTCTCCGTAATCTAGTGTTCATTTCCCCCATCTTCGTTCTTTTTTTCCCCTTACAGGACAACATAACTATTTATGTGCCGGGCGGAACGACTGCATAGTGGACAAGATCCGCCGGAAGAACTGCCCTGCGTGCCGCTTGAGGAAATGCTGTCAAGCTGGCATGGTGCTTGGAGGTAGGGAGTTTTGATTCACAAAATCATAGTCATGGAATTGTAGAGTTGGAAGGGACCCCGAGGGTCATCTAGTCCAACCCCCTTGCAATGCAGGAATCTCAGCTAAAGGATCCATGACAGACCTCTGCTTGGATGGAGGAGGCCTCGGGTTCTCGTTTTCACAAGTGATGTCTGCCAGAGTGTCAGTCACACGGTACAAAGGTTCCCACCCTTACCATGCTATGACCTCATCATGCCATTCAAACTTTGGGTGGGGTTCAAAGCAGAAAGTGTGGCATATAAACGAGAGAGGGCACATTGATTGGCTAAGCTATCGCAGAGGAACACTGTTAATGGCTGCTGTTGTTGGCATCCATCTGTCTTGAGAGACAATGGAGTGTGCCTCTGGGGGTGAAGTCAAACCACTGGAGAATCACAGCGCCTGCTGTGGCCGCAGAGACTGGTAACTCGCAACTGCTGCCGTGCTGCCTTGGCAGGGGTGCCAACTTGAATAAAATATTGGGGGGGGGGAAAGTAAGCCCCGCCCTGCATAATCAGTCACATGACACAGTGCGCAGACACCATTTGAATGGCAGTGCCCATCAACTGGGAGGCGGGGGCGGCCAGGTGAATAGCACAGCCCCACCATGCCATCTGTCAGAAAACAATTCAAGCACAATTCAAAGTCTTGGTGCTGACCTTTAAAGCCCGAAATGGCCTCAGCCCGGTATACCTGAAGGAGCGTCTCCACCCCCATCGTTCAGCCTGGACACTGAGGTCCAGCACTGAAGGCCTTCTGGCTGTTCCCTCACTGCAAGAAGCAAAGTTACAGGGAACCAGGCACCCGCCCTGTGGAACGCCCTCCCATCAGATGTCAAGGAAATAAACAACTATCCAACAAGACATCTGAAGGCAGCCCTGTTTAGGGAAGTTTTTAATGTTTGAAGTTTTATTCTGTTTTTAATGTTCTGTTGAAAACCATCCAGAGTGGCTGGGAAAACAGGAAAAATTTGGGAAAACCAGATGGACGGGGTAGAAATAATAAATTATATTATTATTATTATTATTATTATTATTATTATTCTTTCTTTTTGGAGCCAAGCAGAGTTTCAGCAGAGTCGCATGATGATTACAGAGAACTTCTCATTACAGTGGCTGGCTGTGTGACATTTCTCTCTTGCTATATAATGGACTTTGCTTACCCGTAGTGCGGGAGGAGATTTCAAGTAGATATTGAATCATGTCATTTACTCTGTCCCAGGAAACATGGATAGTAAGATACTGCAATTCTTTCTCCTGAGGTCTCTGCAGCTGCTTCTGCCCTGATGAGTAGTGTAATAAGCACTTTCCAGAGAACAGCTAAAGGCAGCGAAAGTGAACTGCATTTCGGGGCTATAGCAGCAGCAGCAGCTGTGTTGTCAGATGTGCAGAAAAAATTGTGGGTGGGCAGGAGAGGCGACAGGCAACACAGGCGAAAATTGGAATCCTGTCATGGCGAGGGGTGCAAATCACCCTTTTCCTGCATCACAACTACCAAACGGAAGGGTGCAGTTGTTATGGCTATTCAGTTGCATGGCTGCACTTTGCAATGTTAGTTGGATGTGTCCAGAGAGGAATTCAAGAGAGGAATTCAAGAGATGTCCAGAGAGGAATTCAAGAGGCTGTACAGCCTTATTATTATTAGGTATATTATCAGGAAGGCTAATTTGGGAGAAGGGATTGCTTTGCTGTTGGGTTTTTCTTTCTGCAAGTTGCTTGGGGAGCCTAAATGCAGAGTGCAAATAAATGCTTTAAGAAAATAAAGGCTCCTCTGGATCCGGAGCTTGTCTGTAAGAAAGTGGGCAGGAAAAGAAGCCCATTGCCAGTCAGAGTGTGAGGATAGGAGATGCAGAAACTCCTAGTGAGGTCCTCAGTGCTTGTGGATGATCTAATCTTCAAACCGCTCATCCCTCGCATCTCTGCTGGGCACTAGGCGGGAATGACACAACAAACAAGGGTTAAACTAGGGTGCTGGGTTGGAATGTAATTACAAACCATAGTTAAAGCAAGCAGAGTTTCAGAAGCCAACTCTCCACTGTGGTTTACACCCCTGATTTGCTAGCCTCGAACAGACCATGGGTAAGCAGCCAGGTTGGAGCTGGATGTACCAAGAGACTGGAGCTTAAACAGGGGGCAGAGATGGATTGGTGTTATATTCAAACTGGGCCACAAGGTCTCCATTATTCATTTCCACTTATAAGGACAAGCTTTTAAGCCAGTATTGGTGAATCACTGGATTGCTGCAGTGCTTCCACTTATTCAAGGAAAACAAGCCAAGCAGCTGATTGAAAACTAATAGCAGGCCACTTTTCATTCTCCTTGGAAAAGCACAGAAGGGCTTGTTGGTTGTGTCATTATTTGCTGTTTAGCATTTGTTAACTGTAGTTCAAGGTTTATAAACATCAGCTGCCCAAGGCTGCAAACAGGACACTTGGCAAAATGTGATTTGACTGGAGCACGTCGACTGTGCGAGTTCATGACCTGTGGGGTAGCGCAGATGTGGCAGGGCTTGTACAGGGATATCTTGGCATACTGTCGCTGCGCAGGAAACAGCCAGAGTTGTAAGGAATGCATCGAATGTCAGGAAATTGGGCTGGATCTAAAGTTCCTTCTGTAGGCAAAAGATTTGGAGAGCTGGAAGGAACCCCAAGGGCCAACCTGCTGCAATGCAGGAATCACAGCTGTGTGTCTTCTGCTCATGCTAGAACCAGGTTAGGGAAGTTGTGACCAGCAAATCCCATCATCCCTCCCCATTGGTCATTCTCCTTGGAGCCAATAAGAGATGGAACCTCAGATCACCAGGAGGGACAGCGGTTGTTTCGCCCTGTGCTAGAGCATTGCCTAAGAAAGGTGACTCTAAATCTAGCAAGGTTCTAACTCCCTGCCCCAGATTTTCCTGGGCTACAGTTCTCATCTCAGAGCTGTATGGGGTGTTAAGGGACGGGAAGTCCCTCTGGATGAGGCAAACACCAATTCTCTTTGGAAAAGCACAGAAGGGGTTGTCCTTCTGGGGTGGTTTGTCCAGCTTTGGTCTCCATCTTGCACTTAGCTTTGACCTGTGGCTCCTAGAAGCTGTCAGTATGAGACAGCTGCCACACCACAGGAATGGCTGTGGTCGATTGGCTAAACCAGGTGAGGGTAGCCAAGGCATCTCAAACATACGGCGCATTAGGGACTTCCCCTGTATGCGAAGACAGGCACCAGTGCGTGGAGTGGATGAGACCAATAGTAGGTCCAACAGTCAAGAAGGTGTTTCTTGCCCATGCTGTAGAAGGAAGTGAGGGGCAGACGGAACACATCAGCCTGGGGAAGTAGCCCATTTAGGAGAAGAAAAAGTCTGATCCTAAACCTCCACTGCCTTGCAAGATATCTCCAAGAGAGGAAAAGGCTAAGGAGTAAGCCCTGCGCAAAGCTGGGGTGGAGTCTTGAATGCCTCCTTCTGGCATCTTCTGCAGCCAAGCTGCTGCCAAATGTTTCCTTGAGACCACTGGCGGAGGAAGGCGGGCGGGTGTCAGCTGTGCGGGTGGGTGACATCGCTGCGCCACCCACTCCCGCTCGCTTTGTGGGCAGCTGGCTGTAGGGACGATGCTGCTGCGGGCAGCTAGCAGCGCCCCTCACAAAGCTGAGAGCCAGTGTGGTGTAGTGGTTAAGAGCGGTGGTCACGTAATCTGGGTAACCGGGTTCGCGTCTCCGCTCCTCCACATGCAGCTGCTGGGTGACCTTGGGCCAGTCACACTTCCTTGAAGTCTCTCAGCCCCACTCACCTCACAGAGTGTTTGTTGTGGGGGAGGAAGGGAAAGGAGAATGTTAGCCGCTTTGAGACTCCTTAAAGGGAGTGAAAGGCGGGATATCAAATCCAAACTCTTCTTCTTCTTCTTCTTGCCATGCAGGTGGCAGGCAGCTCACCACGTGGGCAGCAAGTGGTGCCCCCCCCACATTCGTCACGCGGGTGGCAGGCGGCTAGGGACACTCTCCGCGTGGGCAGCTAGCAGCTGCCCCCCACGCTTGCCACGCGGGCGGCGGGCAGCAAAGAACGCTCATCATGCGGGCGGCTAGCCCTGCCCACGGGCCAGCTAGCCCTGCCCCCACACCACTCCGGGTGCTGGGGCAGGTAGTTCCACCCCTGCTTGAGACCACACCAGTGAGTCCAAGAGTGGGGTCTTGTTGTTTGGGCAGCCCAGGACCTCCATACAGAAAGCCCAGCTTGCGCCCCAGAGAGGTCACTTTTGCTCATGCAGCAAAATCAAACTGGGAGGCAGCAGTTACAAGTTACTGGTCTCTGCAACCACAGCAGGCGCTGTGATTCTCCAGGATACTCCAATAATTTGCATAGCTACTTTACGGTACTACTCAGAAGTAACTGCCTTATGCTAAGTCAGATCGTTGGTCGAACTAGCTCAGTATTACTCTGTCTGGCAGTCTGTATCTTCAGGATTTTAGATGGGTTTTCTCCCAGTCCTGCTTGGAGATGCTGGGAATTGAACCAAGGACCTTCTGCATGCAAGGAAGGTACTTTCCCACTAAAGAGTTGTTTTCTTTTTTCAGATTTCCTTCTTAATTCTGCACATTGGCTTTGAGATATGTTTTCAAGGGAAATGTAGCCTCTGCATGGGATTAATAAAGCCATTTTTTTCCCCAGCTGGCACATGAAATTAATATATGATTTGGGAAGTGTGTTTGAGGGCAAATGTAATTACTGAGCCGTGTGATGTAAAACGCAAGAATAAAAGCAATTTCGCTAACCTGATTTAGACACCTCGGCGATTAACATATTTTCATACGTTACATGTATTTAAAATTGCAGTTCAATCATAACATTTGTGAATCACAGTGCGTGGAAGAAAATGAAAACGAGGTTTTGTAAATGGGTTTCTAAGGGCCTCCGTTCAGTAAGTTTAAAATATGGGTTAATAATGCAAGCAACAGCCTCGACGACTCTGTCATGCTGTATTGTTATTATAGGAAGTTAACAGCAATTCCGA